TGAATCTAGCAGTAATAGCAAATGAAATAAATATATCTTTTCAGACTCCTTCATATTAGCTACAATCATCTATTTTAAAATGAACAATTTAATCAAAATTAAAAACTGTCACCCTACACCATTATTAAAAGTATTCCATCTAGGTGTGATGGCACACACCCATAATCCCCAGCGACTTGGAGGCTGAAGAGTACAGGTTCAAGGCCAGGCTGGACAATTTAAGAAAACCCCGTCTCAAAATTAAGAATAAAAAGGGACAGGGTAGAATGCAGCTCAGTGGTAGAATGCCCCAGGTTCAACCCCCCATAGTGCAGTTTTTAAAGAGTACTCCATCTATAAAAATAGAGTTTAAAATATAATATTTTTAGGAAGGGAAAGAAGTTTGTTTTTAATAATTTCAGGTAAAAAGAAACTACCTTAAGGATGTGTTCAGAATATTATAAACTTCAGTCATAAAATAAGCAATTTTTAAATTTATAAATTCTAAAAGCTTAATGTTCCAGACAAAAATAATCAACTATATTAAAACTCTCTCAACAATATGCTGAACAATTGTAGCGCTCCTTAAAACCTTACAATTTGGCAATCCTTCTTGGCAATGTTGCCTTAGAATCTTACTGACCACAGTCCCACCGTAACAGTGGAAATGGTAATAACTCTTGTGCCCAATGCGTTAAGCTGGTCTGTAAGTGTTCACTACCAAAGATCCAAAACTCCTCATAAGAATCACAAATCGCAATAAAAATTCTAATTTAGAAGTACCACAGAATTACATACCAATTGCAGTGAAAGAAGTTTCTATTGTTCTGGGCCCTGCCTTCCAAGAACATCCAACTGGACATCCTTTTCTTTAACCAATCACCTTGCCTTGCCAAATTCAAAGCCACTGAAATAGGAGGTGGGGGAACTCTCATGTTTCCTACCAAAAGTCCAAAAAGCCCAAAAAAGAAACCCTATGCAGATCACACAGACTAGTCCTGCCAGTATCTTGCCAGAAATTAAGCTGCACACGTTTCCAGGAAAGCATACCTGTCACTTGGCGGACTGTTCTCTTCTGGGAAGATCTGGGTATTGCGCCTTCGCACTTTCGGAACCACCTGCCTTCTTGAAGAATGTCTGTCTTGTGGCTTTGAATCTTCCTGGGACACAATGTCTTCTATGTCATCCAGCAGGGTATCACAGGATGCAGAAGGCATCTTTTCTATCACATAAAGTCAAACAGCACAAGCTTATGACATCTGCTTAACACAACATCACCTATAACAAATTTTCAGCAAACTAATCAAGCCTGTTAAGTCCACTTCAAGTTTAGAGAAAATGCAGGGGATAAACACAAGGAGACGATCAGAAGTCACACTGATAATGGGACATTAAGATTCAACAGAACTATTTCCTCAACAAAGCGACTCCATGGGGAAAAAAGCAAGCAGGAGATCTCAAGATTAAAGGAAAGGAGCCAGGCATGATGCCAAGTGCCCATAATCCCAGCAGCTCAGGAGGCTGAGGCAGGAAGATCACAAAGAGCTCAAAGCCAGCCTCAACAAGATCAAGGTGCCAAGCAACTCAGCGAGACCGTCTCTAAATAAAACACAATATAGAGCTGGGGATGC